ATCGTTTAACGAGGTGGAAAACAACAACAAGAACAACAGAGGATGAGGAGAAAACCCCGTAATGATCAGGACTTGTGTGTGCGAGAGAAAGCCCTACACAACAGAGAGAGAGAGTCGGCAATTAGCATGCCGGTTGGCCACTGTTTTACGGACACGCTTGGAGAAAATCGGATTGAAGAGTAATCTCGTCGCCCCCACCCCAACCCGCCCCATCCAGATGACGTACTTCAAGTGAAAAAATGAGAGACGAAAAATAAACTATTGCCTGTCAATGTCACTGACTGGCTGGTTGAATGGACTAGATATTTCGGACAGGCGACATTCGTGCAACCGTCCGATCGTCCGAATGGAGTCAGTTGACATTGGGAGAAAGCGAAACCGGTCTTCTAAACATTGAAAAGTGTACGGCCAAAACCAAGATCACCAGTTAGGTGGATTCGAGCGTCGGGCATGCCGTTTTAGATGAAAAAAATTGCATGAAATGGGAGGAAGTGAACAAGATCAGATTGAAGAAAAATCGATTCATTAGTACTGACCATCCTTCACCCTCACCACTGTGCCAACCATCCATAGTATGAGCTGGCTGACCCAGTGGTAACACAAGGCTTCTATGCGATGGGTCCGAAGTTCAAATCCTGGAAGGGACGATGGATATGCACTACCGATGAACTCTAAATAAGAGCGAAACTCGAGTCTAGTGTTTCCCCGAATGTATAATTGAATCGATGAACTGAGGATTGTGCACGAAGGTGAAGTTCGAAGGACAGTTAGTTCAAATCAATCAATATCAATTATCCCACTCCTCTTCTCACAAGTAACTGTGAGTTAAATGAGAATAAAGAACAATTGCGGGGACTGAGATAACAATCTTCAGATTCTCTTTAGCATTCAAATAGCAATTCACCGTTCACGGTATGTTCATTGGTACGCAGCACAGTTGGCATGCACAGTTAGCATGACTCTAAACATCGAATCAAATTATTTTAGTCATTCAATTTAATTTCAATTTTACTTCCGTTTACTGAATAAACAATGCTTAAATTATCAGAAAGGGCGGAAGCGACCAATCAAATGGCTGCTAAGCAACATACAGGGATTGATGAAAATCAGGCGTTGGTGGTCGGATTCGAACAGACATTCTCCGGGGTGACGAATTTGGTGACGTTNGTTACCACCGGGCCAGCACCGCCAAAAACGCTGCCGTGGTCGGAATTTTAATCCTGTTGTTCAGAGCCGGGGGGGGGGAGCCTTAAACGATTTCCGATAATTATGATGGTCGACAAGTGTTTTGAACCAGATGAAAAATGGAAACGGACCCCTTCCAGATTGGTGAAAACGACTGCCAAATCTAAGCGGACTCGATGAGCCGACTCGGCGGTAGGCGATCATATCAGATCATCATCTAGGGTCGATGAATTTGGAGAACGAGAGAAGACGAAGGAGCTAGATTTGGCCAATAATGATGAGGTCAGAGTTGTGGTTGCGGTTTTCATACAGAGTACAACAAAATTGCAATGATTTTTTGTATTGCATACCTTAGTGTGATGAACAGCACACGGAGTAAAACCCATAGTCACGGGGACCTGCTGATGTTCAGTGATGGAAACCGGTGTCCTAAGCCCCGCGGGATTCGGAACGGCGAACCACATAGGACCCCATTAGGTTAGGCGTGGTAAAGAATGAGAGAGAGTAACAGACAGACGACTGTTAGCCTCGGTTGCACTCCTGTTCGAATCCCCATTGCATAGTGAAGAAAATGTCTCACACAACAGACGGGATGGATGTTAACTAACTTCACTTCGCCTAAAGATTTTTAATGCGTTACTTCTGAGTGCGCATTAGAAATCTCCTAACATTCTAACCGACCTTTTTGGAGCGCTAATTTTAATGAGTGCCCCTAAGGTGAGTATTGTGCGACAAGGCAAAGAGTGAACGAAACGGGTGATCCGGGTTCTGCATTCTTTGATACATCAAAATTAAGACCCTCTAGAACGGTGATACTGCGTGGAGTATAACTCCAATGATTCCTGTTTTTCTACACACGTCTTGGAATGCAGTCTCTGGGCCTTTTCGGTGGCCATTCTATGCGGGCGCTCCAAAAAAGGCATAACAGCCATGGATTCCACGCGTGAATGGCGTACTCTATGTGGAGTTGAATGTAGGCTGATAACACGTGGGAAAAGCATAGGTTCGAATTTACCAAAAGCTCGCTTTAGCGATCCAACATGTCTTGCAGTGGAGGACGACAACCTGGAGTAGCTTAAAAAACAAATTAGGTTTTAATAAACAATGACACCGAGATCTTTCTCATTCGAGATAAACGGAAGTTGCCGATATCCCAGGAAGTACGGAAACATAAATTCTGGCGAAGGGATATGAGCGCAGATTTTGATGCATTGAATACGATGCCATTTTCGATCGACCACTGATAAGCAGCGCTAAGTGTGCTCCGAAGTGCCAGTGAGTCCTCAGGTTTTGTGACCACTTTCCATATTTCCGCATCATATGCAAACGCTAACGGTTGCGGCTCCAGAATGTCTGTTTGTGAGAACCACAAAAAGTAGAGGGCCAAGCACGGATCCTTGTGGAACTCCTCGGGCTACGCTGATGAGACCAGATAGCGACCCAGAAACCCGAACTGTCGTGGTGTGTTATCGTAGAAATTATTCTATTCAACGCAGTACAAGTCCACAAATTAATTGATAGTGTAGTTTCCTCAGTGGTATTTTGTGGTTCACTCAGTAAAATGCCTTGGAGAAGTCACGGCACACTACGTCCAGTGTATCACTGTGCTCAACTGCCTTTGTCCACTGTTCTCGGGCCAGAAGCAGATTAGTGGTCTCCGGTCGCCTGCGACGAAACCCATGTTGAACCGGGAATAAAACGTATTTTTCCAAGTAACAAATCGTAGTGTCTGCAAAAATGGATTCCATGACTTTGGATAATTCGAAGAGAGTAACGGAGCGGTGCTTTCTCTCTCTCTCTCTCTCTCTCTCTCTCTCTCTCTCTCTC